AGCGACCCCCCGGCCCCTCCAGCAGGAACAGAAGATGGCTGAAGCGGTTCCCCTGACCCTCCAGCGAAGACAGATGGCTGAAGCAGTTCCTCGGACCCCCTTGCAGGAACAGACGGCTGGAGCGACCCCCTGGACCCTCCAGCAGGAACAGAAGACGGCTGGAGCGACCCCCCGGACCCTCCAGCAGGAACAGAAGACGGCTGGAGCGACCCCTCGGGACTTTCAGCAGGAACAGAAATGGTTCCTCTGACTCTCCAGACAGATGGCTGGAGCGGTTCCTCGGACCCTCGAGCAGGAACAGAAGATGAATGAAGAGGTTCCTCGGACCCTTCAGCAGGATTAACAGGTACGGAGCCACAAATCCTCCAGCCTTTCAGTCTGTGGCACTAAGGCTGTGGAACAGTCGACCACCACAACTACTTTTGGTTAACTCTGTGGATTCTTTAAAAAGCAGTTTAAAACTTTTGTTTAAACAGAAGTTCTGTTGATCAACGCCTTTTTCAATTTTACATTTTTATTTATATGCAACCTTTTGTATTGACTGTATTGTTGATTTTGTTACCAAACGTTCTGTTTATTTTAACCTTTGTGTACAGCGCTTTGTGACTGCCTGTCTATGAAAAGTGCTTAATAAATAAACTTTACTTTTATTTTATTTCTCCTATTACCTGTGTGTGCTGCTCGGCTTGGGCCTGCAGCGTCTCCAGTTACTGCTGTGGTGCTGTCTCTTGCTGTTGGTGCATGTTGGCGGGCTCCCTTGCATCTTGTGTGATAGGCACAGTTGGGTGCCAATGTAACACCACGGTCATGGGAAACCCACCATCCAGCTTCAGACTCTCAGTTTCAACTGAACAGGTCGTGTTTATTCTCACAATTACTGTTTTACACGTGTGCTTCACTTGCAGCTTTTCCTCCAGCGTTCTTCCACTGCTGCTGTCCTTACTCTCTGAACATGACCGGTCTCAGCATTTTACTGAGTTAAAATAGTGGCTGGCACACTGTGGCTGTGCGCCTAGAACTGCTGCTGAACCCTCTGCTGTACCCCTTCCCTGCAGCTGCACTACACCAAGATACATGAAACCTCTGACATTTTTAAACTTTTTTTTCTCCAAGAGTTACAAGACTGTCACATAGAATCAGTTCTTCATCTGCGTTAAATGCTATTGTCTTGCTCTTATCATAGACTGGCTGCATACCAGATGATGTGAAAGTGTCGCCATACAACAGGAGAATGCTATAAAGTTCCTCTGCTAAGTTCGCAAATATGGACGGGTCATAGCTCAGTGATTTGATTCTGACCTGATGTTGGTACTTTGTCACATAGTTGTCATTGTGATACTTCACTTGGAATGCAGTACTCCAGTGTGAAGCTAGTCTCAAAGAATATTTTCAGTATTTCACTGTTGCCTACTCTCACCACAAACTTGGACTTTAGGGTACCTTGTTTATATCCTACTAAAGTTTCAAATAAGCTAAATTCAAAGATTGAAATGCAAACGGACGCGTGCTGCAGCACTTTTCTTTTTGTGTTTTTTATGCTTTTTCATTGCTAGTTCCTGCAATGCACTGATCACTTTCAGTAGTCAGGAACTGATAGACACTGACCTCAGCCTGAAGCTAGACTTTATTTGGATTGGACCCACAGTATCCATCAGGATTGCAAGACCACCAGGAGCTCCATCGGTTATTGTCAGGAACAGCAAGAGATGGCAGGAGAGGAATAAAAAGCTGGGATGCAGAGCTGGCTATCGTGTCCAACTGCAAAAGCAGCAACACAAACCCCTGCTTCCATTCATCTTCCTAACTAACGACAGATCCCACACAAACAAAATGGAAGAGCTACAATCAAAGATTTACTACAACCATTTTGTCCGGGCGTGTTATCTACTGATTATAACTGAATCTTGGCTCCATCTACAAATATCTGATGTTTCACCGCCAGGACTGCAACAAAGACTCTGGTAAGGGATCACCTAAAACTTATCATTAGTAAACAGCAGAGAGACCAGCTTGAGGGCATCCCTATCGTTGCTGGGGATTTTAATAAGCCATGTTTGAAATCAGTAAACTCGAAATTCCACCATCATGTTAAGCGTCCTACCAGGGGCACAGGATACTGGAGCGTGTGTACAGTAACATCAAGTAAACCTGCAAAGCGACACCCCTACCCCACCTGGGACAATCTGACCACCTCTCTCTCCACCGGATTATAAGGCACATTAAACGAAACAAAACAGTCAGATTAGTCAAACTTTACTCAGCTCATTCTTCTTGCTTCCTCCACTTCCATACCATCGATTCCTAATGTCGTTGCAGTATATTAATGACTAACCTCGTATTGTGGATGGATTTTCTCAGTTGTTCTCCTGACTGAAGTTTGGTCCATTTACAGCATCCTGCCATGCGATTGCATTTGTCTCTAACCATCGGGAACCCTCACGTTAACTTTTATCGAGTGGAAAAAAGTTAGCGTTCATCCTCCAGCTTCACTGTGTATATGCTATGCTAACATAGCTGTGTATATCATTATATACCAGCTAGCCCAACTTCATTAACCCTACAAACATCACTGCTGTTTAGTTTTCTGTCTTCATTTCTTCTTCATCTTCTGTTCCTGCTGGAGGGTCCTTCATTTAAGTGATAGCAGAAATTTTCAGAAATCTCTCAGTCAGAACATGGTATATCATGTTTAGGTGGAAACTAGCGAGCTAACTTCCTGCTAACTCTGTTAAGTATAATAAATTCTGTTTTCATGGATGCCTGGATGTTAAACTTAATTGTTACACCTGGTAAAGCAGCATAGCTGATCATTTTGTTAAAGATGAAAGAATTTAGACAGTTTTTTAACTCTCAGTGATGCTGCAGTGTTTGTTTGACTTTGGGACCTGAAGCAGAGTTTGGACCCAGATTACTCTGCTAGGCTCCTGACTACGGTAGCCGTAATGCTGCGACAATCCATCAAGCGGTGCGGCTTCGTAGCTTACCAAAGTCGTACTAAAACATTTTTGCCAGATTTTTGAGCGCCGTGTACCTCATAAAATCAGTTCGAGGTCAGTAAGCACAACCAGAATTCATACATAAGGCGCACTGGATTATAAGGCGCATTGTTGATTTTTGAGAAAATTAAAGGATTTTAAGTGCGCCTTATAGTGCGGAAAATATGGTATTGCAAAATATATAAATCAGACGAGTCGATCCCACACCGATCCCGGCATTTTCCTAGACATGAGTAGGTTGTATATTTTATGTAGTTCTAAAAATCTGTTAATCCAGGTGGAGACTATAGGAGATGCATACATGGTGGTGAGCGGCCTACCTGAAAGGAACGGAGACAGACATGTGGATGAAATTGCCAAGATGGCTCTGGATCTGGTAGCAGCCGTCAGACAGGTCTCCATTCCTCACATGCCCAATGAGAGGCTTCAGCTCAGAGCTGGCATCCACACAGGTCAGAGGAATTTATTAAGATACAGCAGATGTTTTCTGTGTTATAGAAAATTTGAATCTGCGTGGGGATTGATAAAAATGTGAATCACTACAGTGACCTTGGTCAGGTGCTTTGTGGTAAGTACCATCTAGTAAAGGAACCATATCAGATTACGATTCCTGGATATTCAAGGTCAAGGTCAAGTTTATATATATATAGCACATTTCAAACAGCCGATGCTGCACAAAGTGCTTAACAATATAAAAATGGCATTAAAAAGCAACAATCCTCAACAATTCACAATCCTCAGAGGACGATTCTGTTGAAAATCTTAAACATAGAAATGTTGGCATCCTCACGGAGCTTTAACTGTGTACCATCAGAACAAAGCCACAAAATTTATTGGAGATGATAGACATCAGGTAAACTCAATAACACTTAGTAGCTCTTAGATGCAAAGCCTATATCCAGGTGTTTGAGTGCTTTTTAGTTTGCATACAGTATACACTTACTCTTCAAACAATTTCAAGTTGTCCACATTGTTTGTGGATTTACACAGTTTTTATAGCTCCTTAAGCATTATTCAGCATTAATTCAATCTTGTAAAAACCTGCGTCATGGGATAAGCAATGACACCTCATTCACTTTGTTTTAGTCTGCGCACGAGCATATAGAGCCGTCTTTGTGCAGCTCTCTTATTACACTCATCTCCAGCATTACAGCCAGTTCCTTCTGAACTACTTGTCTTTTATGTACAGATAATCTGTAGGACCATGAACACAGTGTTATACCTGGGTGAGTTTCAAAGTGGTGAGTGTGGTGTGAATGGGCAAGTGAGAGAATGCATCTGGAAAACGCTGTTGTCTGAACCAGCGTGAGATGGTTATCACAACGGTCTTTCACCAGGTTCCCCAGAGATACAGTTTCTGTCTCTCTCCATGCTTTAAGGGGGTGGGGGTGCTATATGTGTTTTGCTCCACCCCTGTCCGAATGCACCACTTTATAGTCAACATCCCTCACTCACTGCATGACCACAAAAGGTCCCTGCCACTTGGCAAATAACTTTCATTTGGATAAGGAGAGTAATACAAGTACTTTATCATCCAGTGTAAATTCTCTGATTTTAGCCCATCCACAGAACACACACCATCCGCCTAGAAGATCCACCCGGCAGAAGTGTCGTGGCGTTTGCATGAGTTCCCGTGAGTTGGGCAATGCATGTAGCCATAGGTTGGTTAGTGTGTGCCGTCGCTCAGGCATATCGCTCATGCTTTCTTTTAGCCACTTTAATGTCACTCTGACTGCTGCTTGCAGCTTTTCTCCTGTCTCCACACGCCCCTCACTCCCAGTGTCCTATTGTGTAAAATAGGAAAGGCACAATTAGGTGATGGCTGGCACCCTGGCACCACCCCTCCCAGCTTAGCCACAAACCACACCCCACCACCACACATTTTACAAAAATTACAGTTGATATGTCGTTGCTTTTTTCCCCAATCTTCTTCCATTGATGAATATTCTGAATGTTTAGTGCTAAAGGTTTTTTTTTAGAAGATTGTAAAGTGTTGCTTCTTTTTCTCCTGCGATGCAGGTCCATGTGTGGCAGGAATAGTGGGCTACAAGATGCCAAGATACTGTCTATTTGGAGATACCGTCAACACAGCCTCTAGAATGGAATCAACCAGCCTGCGTATGTGCAGCTAGTCCCAGTATACACTAGCACACACAATATAGCACAATATAGTGGACATGAAATGAAACTAAATAGACTGTATGTGTTGTATTGGAATTTGGTACCAAAAACAGCTTTCTTGGATCTTTCTTGCACAAATATACAAATACAAATCTAGAAAAGCTTAAATCTTTACATGATGTCTGTTGATTTTAATTTTTCTTTATGCCAGCTCAGAAAATCCACATCAGTTCAGAAGCATACCTGGCTCTGATCAAAGACAATGCTTATGAGCTGCAGCTTCGTGGAGAGATTGAGATTAAGGTAAAATAATTTCCAGCTATGCCATAATATGTTATCATTAATATTATTTTATTTATTTTAAGAACGTTCCCAAATTTAAATTAAAAGACAAAAAAGTGAAATTTGGTGGAAATTTTATGTTTGTTAAAGAGTCTTTAGTCCAAGTTTTTATAAAACATTTTCTTACTTCATGTTCAACACAAGTCTACTTTAAGAGATTTCTTAAAATTTCCACATATACACAAACAATATGCAGTGCTTAGTTTTCATTTTGGTTTTTTTGGTGAACAGTACCTTGTCATTGCTCCTTTTTCACGCGTGGTCTTCTCCTGCCAGGGTAAGGGCAAAATGTATACATACTGGCTGATTGGCCACAAGAACTACAGCGTGCAGAATGACAGTCTGGTTTGCCACTGGAATCCCAACATGGCCAGAAAGAAGAAAATGTTAGCAGGGAGCCAGGTATCTGTGAGCAATGTGAGTTAAAGTGCTTTAATATTCTGAATATGTTCCTTTAGAGAAGCATCCGTGCATGTCCTCCAGCTTTTGTCCTACATAGTTTAACACTGAGCCTTAAATGTTTGTTCTGCTGTGAATAGCACTGTAGTCATTCATTTGTTGTATAAAAACAGGTTCATACTAATATTTCCCCATTATTTCTGTATTACATCTTCCCTGACCAACTGTAGGTGTCTATAAATTTACATTTTCATCAATGTATTACAATTTTGTTTTGATATTTTTATGTTTGTGTTCTGTATGTATATGTTTTACTGCAATTGTGTCACGTGGGTATTACACCAATTAACCCACAGTGTAACCACCAAGCTAATGAAAACTGGTTCTCAAAAGCATGTTACAATCTCGTTCCAGATGTTAGCATTATTTTCTCATTGACTTATGCTAAATATACCATTAATATACAGTGCTTTTCTACTCTGAGCACTCAACGTGCTTTACACAACTTGCCTCATTCACCCATTCACACCCATTTGCTTAAGCACTTTTTCTAAGCTCTTTCCTATTCCAATGCAACACATCTTCCAGTGTGTGTCAGTGTTTTCCATCCATCCAACCATCCATCTTCTTCTTATCCAATTCAGGTTCACAGTTAGGCTGGAGCCTATCCCAGCTATTATAGATCAAGAAGAGGGGTACACCCACCTCTGATGAAGTTTCACAAGTGTCAGCTTTGCTTTTATACATAGATATAAAAATATGGATATGTACTCATAAAAAATCATAATTATAATATTTCTGAGTAAAAAACTGAATTGAATCAAATCAAATCAGAGTCGCATCAGCAGAAGAAGGGGGTGGAAACAGAAGGGGATGCGGATCCGGTTCAGCAGCTGCAGTAACTATAGCCAAGCTTGAGACATGCTCCGGAACCTCCTCTTCGGGGCTGAAATTGCCCGGCTCCCAACCTCCAGCTGCAGGAGCTCCCTTAGAGACCCTGGCCGTGCTGCTAGGTGATCGTTGGCCAGGGTCACCGCCAGATCCAAGGGCTGGTGGCAGCAGACCCACTCTGCCATTCCCGCTGGGAGCCCCTCCATGAATTGTTCCAGGACCACCATATTCACTAACTGGGCCTCCTCTTTTGTGGGAGGTACCTTTGTCTGGCTCTCGGACTGGTTCTACGTGTTTTTTATGGGTGGCCACTGGCTGCTCCCAGTGCATAATCGCAAGCTCCACCACCATTTGTGCTAGTGCCTCCACCAGTTGTGCAGGTCACATATCCGTCATCACGCAGATTCGCTTTGGGCACAGCTGGAGCACTAAGGACATCACACACAGCCAGAGGGTCACGGTGAAGTACGGTTTCTTTTATTACTGTTTTGCACACAAACACTTTGGCACATGCAGGCCGGCAGTATCCGGCTTCCCAACTCATCTCTGGTGCTACTTCCTGCTCACTGCTTACCTCCTCTCTTCAGGTCCTGGCACCTGCTGAAATAGGAGAGGTAGATCATGGCTCAAGAGTTGGGAGTTCGCCTTGTAATTGGAAGGTTGCCAGTTCGAGCCCCGGCTTGGACAGTCTCAGTCGTTGTGTCCTTGGGCAAGACGCTTCACCTGTTGCCTACTGGTGGTGGTCGGGGTAGGAAGCCTCGCCTCTGTCAGTGCGCCCCAGGGTGGCTACAATGTAGCTTGCCACCAGTGTGTGAATGGGTGGATGACTGGATGTATAAAGTGCTTTGGGGTCCTTAGGGACTAGTAAAGCGCTATACAAATACAGGCCATTTACACAATTACTGCCCGGTGTGATGACGGCCTTCCCTGGGCCTGCCTCTTTAGCCCATGTTTAACATCAGAATAGAATCTTAATCTAAAGACCTCATACTGTTGCATCACACCAATAGAACAGAACCCTTTCTACTTTTCAGATTAGGCTTCAGACTTTCCTTGTTGATATAGCCAGGGCTGAATCCTCTCTTAGCTCAATACACTGACTGTTTCTTTTTTGCTCACCCTTTTTCACTCATTGTGCCCCACTCTTCATCTCCCCCATTCTTAATTGTTATTCATCTCTGGCTCTCCATATTAACCAACTCGGCTCCCTCCCCTCACACTCTGAGCCTGGTTCTGCTGGACGTTTCTTCCTGTTAAAAGGGAGTTTTTCCTTTCCACTGTCACCAAAGCGCTTGCTCATAGGGGATCATATGATTCTTGGCGTTTTCTCTGTTTTCTCTGTGTTATTGTAGAGTCTTGACCTTACAATATGAAGCGCCTTGAGGCAACTGTTGTTGTAATTTGGCACTGCATCAATACATTTTAATTGAATTGTATTGAATAGCTAAAAAGCTTCAAAAAACGCATTGAACTGAATACATTTATGAGAGCAAAAACATTTAACATAATTTTATTTACTGACACTTATATGACACAGATAGTGTAGCTCTATCATCTAATAGCAAGTACATGATTCACCTCATAGTCAGTATTGCTGCCAGTAGCAGTCTGGTGCAATGAATTAATATATCCCCACAGCACCATAATCACAAACATACTTTTAATGTTATTTTTTGTTGTCTACATTGCATTTTGTACGCATTATAAATTGATCAGAAAATTTCCCAACCTTGTTTTTCACAAATCGTTGGTTTTAATGTGGAAAAAGAGTGTTACAGGCAGATTACAGAAAACAGTGCTAATGTTTAGTATATACTGGGACTAATGGGAACATAAAATATGAGAGTGGGACAGTTATATGATTGGTCATATGGTATTCTTGTAACCCTCTTCCGGTGTTATGTTAATAAAAACAACTAAACTAAAACCGACTATGATGAATAACAATCATATCGAATTGTGTAAAAAGCTATGTATCTTTTCTAATATGAATGTACCTTCCATGTGTACTTATGCCAGTCATCAGTGACAGTGCAGAGTCTGACCGAGAAGGCTACCACTCCAGTGTCTCTTCTCATGAACCAAACTTCGCCACAGCCACCGAAAGACAAACCTGGCAAGAGAATGGCAGCTCAGATGGAGACCTACAGCAGCAGCTGCAGTACCCTTGGCTCCATGATTGGAGGACTGCAGGGAGGAGATAAGAGTCCTCAACCCAGCCAGCATAGCAGTGGACTCAAACCTGATCTGGTTCCTGTCTCCAACCAGCATGTGTAGCCAATAACTGCCAGCATAAATTAACCTAAGAGAATCTGAGAAATTAGTTTGTTGCAGGTAGCGCTTTAACAGCTGAAAGACATAGTTAGTTGTCACCTGACATAAAAAAAATTTCAACTCATACTAATTTCCTTCCTGAACTTTTGAGTTGGAAAGTCTCACTCATACCAAGTATTACAAAGAAAGTTCGACATTCTGTCATCAGACACACGCCAACAGTGTCAATCAGGCCAAGCAGACACACAAAGGTGGTTATCTATGGAGAGAATTTTGGCTCAAAAGGGTTATAAATGCATACATTATCATCCACAGCATCAGCTTATTTAAACTATATATATCAACCTTCACAGGGTACTGTGTAGTGTCTGTAATTGGTAAATCTATGTTTTCCAGTAGAGTTCTGTTTAGAAGAAGGCCAGATGACAGCAAGATCTTGAACGCAGCTTACATTTGTGAGTCTGTGTGAAGCTGGCAGCATGAAATTCGTCCCCACGTGGGCATGTGACCTGTGCAATTTGTGCACTCGTATTTAAGGTTGTAAGTGAGAAGGATGTTACATGCACGGTAGTTTAGACATCTAGATGCACGGAAAGCTTTTTGAAAGTGAAAATCATGTGAAGTTGAACTTCATAAATTATGTGTAAATGATCCATAGTTATTCATGTTTAGGTGCATGCATTTGCAAAATAGTTTACATGTGGTTAAATTGCTTTGTATTTGTGTGTGGATTGAACATTTTTGTAAATCTTTATTAACATACCATACACATTTTTAATCCTTTTGAGTCCAATTTCTTTCCAAAGTTATTTAGGCTTGATATTGAAAATGGCCCCAGAACCAGGCTCCTGGCAAGGGACTGGACTCAGTCTCAAGTGTCCCTTAGAGGCAGTGGGCAAGAGTGGGTATTCCTGCTTTCTCCGAGTAGACAAAAGGTTTGTTTTCTTGTGCTGAATAATAGTTCAGAGTACTCAACTTTCTTGGAGTTGCTGGGTGGGGTTCTGGATGATGCCACACTTCGTATCGACAGACTTCAATGACAATGACAGCTAGATCTGGAGGGGCGTGATCAGGTGGAACAGCCAGCCTGATCTGGACAAGAGAAATGTGCTGCCATTGGACTTTTGTTGGGTGGTGGGAGTTAAAGAGTAGGCGCTTGTCTTGTGTGTGGGTTTCTGGTAAACTTCAATGTTGAGGCTTTCATCCTCTTCAATGAGCACAACACTGTCCAGGAATGGTAACCCATTATCCTTGGTATCCTCCTCCCTAAACTTTGTTTTTAACCACTGAGTTGATGTGATCCGTGAAGGTTTCTACTTCTTAGGTTTTGATTTTGACTTAATATGAAGAAGAACTTGTTCTTTGTGTTGTGTTGTGTGGGCCTCTGTGTTTGTAGGTTTATGTCCTTGTGTTCTGTGAACAACTTTGTCTAATACATTCCAGACCATTATTGTTTGTACAGCTTATTAAAAACAATGGATGTTTCATTAATGTGGTAGGTCTTAGATAGAATTAATGTCATTTTACAGTGCTGTACAAAGGTCTTGAGCCACCCTTTTTCTCGTTTTTTTGAAAATTGGGAATAGGTGCAGCGACGTGCAAACAGACATGGAAATATAGTACAAAACACAAAAAAAAGAGTCTGTGCAAATCTAACAAGCTCTAAAGTCAAAACTTGATATGGTCCTGGGCTTTGGTCCAATTTTGAGGGGTTTTTGTTACTGAAGTCTTGTTATTTGATGTTCTGTTTGTTTGTTTGTTTTAGATTTTTAAACTCCTTTATATCGTGACTCCTCTTTTTTAGTTCTTGCTTATTTACATTTGTATTCTGGTTGGTTTATTTTAGTGTAGTTATTTTTAGCTTTCTCTGTGGATAAGGTGCTTGACACTGTGTTGATTTTCTGAAGCCCCAACATTTAGAAACACTCCCCTGGAGTCTCCCCTGGCACTGCCCCTAAACCCACAGCCCCATCCTTCTCCTGCAGCTGAGCCACAGACCACACCACGTCACACACATTTAGTCTTTTTTATTTAAATTGGGGATATTGCTTTACAACATTTCTAGTGAACTATGTAATGGGATCTCCTGAAGCAGTGCCCCTGCACTCCATTCCTGCAAAGAGTGTGACGAAGGTGCTCTTTCATGTAATTACCCAAGTCGGCATCCCAAAAAAGATACTGTCTGACCAGGGCATTCATGTCTCCCACACTAAAAGAACAGTATGAATTACTGGGCATTAAAGATGTTTGCATCAGCATCTATCACCCTCGGATTGACAGGCTGGTCGAGCAGCTGAATAAGATTTCAAAGTCCATGATTCAGAAGTTCATTTACGAGGATGAGCACAACTGGGATTGCTGGTTAGACCCTCGGTTGTTTGCATTTGGGTAGGTTCCCCCTTGATCTACTGTTTGGCAGGAAGACACAGGGTGTGTTGACCCTAATTATTAAAAACTGGGAGGAAGGCCCAAGCCCAGCTAAGAGCAAAATTCAATAGGTCCTGGACGGGAGAGCAAAACTACACACATTGTTATCACAAGAGAATTTGCAACACATGGACAACAGAGGGTCTAGGATCAGGCAATACTGCTCAAAGGTACTTTCCAAGTGGCAAGGACCTTTCGTAGTGACACAATGAATGGGTGACACTGACTCTGAGATGGTAGTGTCGGACAGAGGAGGAGCCACACAATGTTGTATGTTGCCCAGTCGTATGTCACTGACAGAGCACCATTTTAACATGGGACCTGGCATGACGATGAGTTCACGGCCCTACAGGTTACCTGAGCATGAGACGAAAATAGTTCAGAAACAAATAATAATAATGTATACTTTATTGATCCCTGTGGGGAAATTCCTCTCTGCATTTAACCCATTCACTCAGTGAAGCAGTGGGCAGCCACTGGGCGCCCGGGGAGCAGTGTGTAGGGACGGTACCTTGCTCAGGGGTACCTCAGGGTAGCCATTCAGTGGATTTGAACCCCTGACCTTACAATGGTGCCACCACTCTACCTACTGAGCTATCCCTGCCCCCAATGGCTGAAAGACTGAAAATGAGAAAAATAGAAGAGTCACAGAGAGTATGGTGTAGCCCCAAGATGGGTCTCTACGGTTCTGTGTTGACTACCATGAATAAAGTGTCTCAGTTATCCCACGCCCTGGGTCGATGAGCTCCTGGGCCAGTTGAGTACTGCTCATTTTTTCACGAAAAATTGCCTTCTTGGATGAATTTGATTGGCTAATCAGTCTTCAGAAGAGGCCAGGCTGTCTAGAGGCTAGACAGCTGCAAAAACATCACTAACACTGCAACAATGTGTACTTGTGGGGTCTTTGGTGTCACAAATGATAACAGTTTAAGTCAAAATTAGAAATTTTCATCACTCCATGAGAACTATTGCCACTGATTTTCAGTCCTGTTCTTGTTTAATTCAGGGTACCTCAGCCTTTTCCCCTTGTTTCCATTCCTAAACAATGGCTTCCTGACAGCTGCTAGGACCAGAGACCGGCAGCATATTTGTACTGGCACGCACTGGGGCTGCGGCAGCTGAAGCATTTGCAGGGCGCTGGTTGAGTGCCTGTGTGGGTGTACGCTGAGCAGCCATCAGTGTGGGACCTGGGTGTTGTTGTTGGTGGTGGTTGTATAGATGGTGTTTAAGGCCTGAGGCCTGGGTGCTGACTGACTCATAGCATTCGGCATGTTCTGGAAGTGCTGAGGGCGCACTTCCAGAACTTCCAGCTGGGCCAGCTGTTTGGCAGAGAACACAGCACAGTTCTGAGCCTGTGGGATAGCTGCCATGAGGGTGGGACAGGCTGGTATGGGTGAAGGACAGGATTGGGCACAGCTCGGACAGTGGCCATCTTTTGCATGTACTAGTTGGTTAGATGAGCCTGATGCTCCTCTTTCCACTGAGCAAGGGCCACATACAGTGGCTTTGTAGCCATAATACGTCCATTCATCTCTGTTACAGCTTTAGTGTCCTCCTCTGAAGAAGAGAAGCACACAAAGCCAAAGCCTTTGCTGCGGTCACCCTCCATCATCACCTTAGCACTCATTATGGTTCAAAATGAGGAGAATTATAATCAATATGTAGCTGCCATCACCAGTGTGTGAATGTGTGTGTGGATGGGTGGATGACTGGATGTGTAAAGCGCTTTGGGGTCCTTAGGTGACTAGTGAAGCACTATACAAATACAGGCCATTTTACCATTTACCAATATATGTATAAATATAAATATATATATAAATATAATTTTTTTTCTTTTTTACTAAGTGTTCTGTTGTTAGTAGACTCAATGGTAGCTCATCCCTTGACTTAGGTACTTTTTTATTGCTTCACTGGTCAGTGTTTAGCTGTGTTGAAAGCACCCGAGCACACAGTGTTACAGACAGGTGAATTCCTTTATTTATAACTATTTAAATGTTTGTGCAGCTTTCCAGCCACCTTGTTAATGCAACACACTCCCCTGTCAGGTCCTGGCATCCTACTGAAATAGGGAAGCATGACCATGTGATGGACAGCAGCTGTGTGGGCCAGCCTCCTCTGACACCACACCCTGAACCCACTGGTCCATCCCTCCCCTGCAACTGAGCCACAAATCACACCCCGCCACGGCGGCTTAACAAATAAAAGTGGCTAATGTCCAAAGAAAAACTTTGAAGAGCTTCAGAAAGACTGGAGAACTGAAGATAATTGTTAGTTGTTGTTTTTTAAAGAATGAACGTCTGGATTCTTAGATGCAAAGTATGAAAAATGAGGTGGCTAAAAACTTTTGCACAGTACTGCACATAAAAAGAGAGTAATGCTGAATGACTGAATTCCCTTCAGCAGCCAATATGTATCATCCTGGTGGTACGATCTCCATTACTTTGATTGCAGCCAACTTCTGCTCTGGCTTGGCAACAAAAGCATGTTTAAATGCATACATCCTGCGCTCCAGGTCATAGGGTGCTGGAGCCCATCCTAGCTGCCATTGGGTGAGAGGCAGGCTATACACTGGACAG